GGTTCTCTCGTCACGGCGTCGTCCACTATAGCACCCAACAATGCCACAGTGACGGCAGAGACCCTCTCTAAAGAATTGCAGGAGGTCAAGGTGAAAGCTGCCGCCTTGTCCCAGAAACTTGCAAATCCGTGGTTGCTCTGGGACAACGCGCGCCCCCACAAAGCGAGAGATACTCAGGCCGTCCTGGACAGGCTGGGCATCAAGACGATCACGCATCCACCATATAGCCCGGACATCAGTCCATGCGATTACCACATCTTCCGGTCCATGCGAAACTTCCTGGACGGAAAACAGCTGAAGAACGAGCGCGACCTCGAGGACGTGATCGAGGACTGGGCCGAGTCGCGGCGGCCGGCTTTCTGGAGAGGATGGAGTTGCCTCTCTACCCGATCGTTGGCGAAAGGTGGTGGGTATGCATGGAGATTATATCATGGACCGGTAAGTTCAACTTGGTGAGTTATCTTCATAAGCTCTGAAAAAACGAATGGCCAACGAACTTTGTGGACACCCTAATAATAACTTTCTCATTCCGGTGAATAGCATCGAGGATTTGGATTGGGGCTGGGCTTCAGCTCAACGTTACTCTATGACCTAATTCTTTCTCCAGTAATTTCTAATAAATCATTGTGATCGTGTTCACCATTCTATGAGGCGATTCTTACTTCAAGAGTCGTCTAACCGGTTCAATAAAGCGCAGCAATTATTAGCCACGCATGCAAAAAACCCAGAGAAAATGCTAACAAAAAAATGCTCAAACAATCCAGAGAAAATGCTCAGATCTTTACTAATCATTAGTCGATCATTTATTTTGTAGAAGTCCTTCGAAGGCAATGGTTCCGAACGTTACACCCACAACTGGACCTTTGCCGCTCTCTCCATTGACCGCCACTGAGTCCTTCATGCCATACATAGAATAGACATCCCTAAAGTGATATTATTCCCTAAGGCACTACTTCTTGATCGAGTTAGATGGTCCATTTCTCCAAATATGGTTCCCTTCTCCTATTCGCCGATATTCCCAGAAGTTCCGTTATTATCAATCGATAATCGCCGAAAATGAGGCGGTGGTGAGTGGTGTCCCTGGCACAGGTATACTTAGCGGATCGAATTCTGCACGCACGACCCAACCTCCTTACTGCTCGGGATGGGAAAACTGATAAACTTAACTCAGATATGAACTGTACAGTCATATCCGAGGGCGTCTCTCCCCATGTGTAAAGTGACTGGGTCCATAGATGGGGTAGCTAGCCACTTTCTCCGTTGAACGTGCACGAGAACACGGTTGGAGGGTAGTGATAACCACGTGCCGTCTCCCGACTCCGCCCGACTCTATCCTCAAAGTGCAGCACTTCCGCAGATACCAGGGTTCCGCAGCGAAACACATACGCAACGGTAAAGAACAACCAGAAGTGGGAAGGGGCACAGAATCAGCATAATTGGCCATGGTAGCGATGTGGCTGTCTGCGGCCATGGCGAGCCCTGGAGGACGGGACGCACCACGGGCCATCCGCTTGTTACGTACCACACGTTGCCACGCGCCTGCCGAATTTCTGCACGCTCCCCTGCGGCGGCCAGGGGGGAAGCGAGAGGCGATTTCGCGCGCCTCCGCCACTGTGCTTCAATCAGCACCCGCTTTCAAATGGAAGGAAAAAGAGGAATAGAGAGAGAAAGATGAGTGAAGATAGTGGATGCTTACAAGTGAATCACTGGTAGTAGTGGCGAAGAGTTATCAAAAATGTCGGACTATCAGGGGTATCACTTCAGCTCAAATGGCCAAATGGCGAATAGTTCCCTTCGATTGATTGCTGAAAGGGACGACAAACGTTTGAAGCAGTTGCACGATGGTTCTCTTAGTTCAGACCTAACATGTTTTTAGGGCCGCTGTTTATAAGTTGGGGGAAATGGAAAGAACGGAGTGAAACGGTCAAAATCCTGCGAAGAAAAAGCCTCCGTTCTCAGTGACTTGTAAATCGATTCGGACGAGTTTCCCGTAGGCATCTTACCAATCACCGCTACCGAAAGATACGCGGCATGCATATTTGTACTATATAATGCATTGCAGTCATCAAGGCCGGCGTTATTACCAATCCTTGCGGCCTTTATAATTTGCTTAGCAAAAATGAATGAATCACGACGGCCGTCAGATTACGGTTCGTCCCATATGTGGAGCGGGCGTTTCGGGGTCGCGAATTGTTGTGGCTGATAGGCCTTATAAGCGCACCTCCCTCGGGAACTGCTGATGCAGCGACCCTGACCCAGAATAGTATGTCGCGGAATCTATCCTGCCAGAGTAAACGATTTCTAGGGCGTCTTGGGATTTTCGTGCCAACTGCCTTTACAGGTGAGCGTTTGGCAAAACCTGCCAAACGTTTTGGATTGTGACCTTCATAACGGAATCTTATAATCTGCTATCGAAGGTAACTGTTTCGCTTGTTCCGCCAGTTACTGAAGTAATCCGCCCTGATAGTTGACTTTTCTGTATTCTCTCACCTCTAGCGCTAACTCATCTGTACGCATCCACTATTCGGTCAACCTCTCCTTTCCTCTCTCTCATATTTACCTTCCACCATACGCATACGCCCGGCTGCATGATTCGGGAGCACAGTGGCGGAGGCGCAGGCTATCGCCCTTCGCTCCGCCCTGCCGCCGCGCTGACGTCAAAACCGCACCGCATACGAGCCCGGTTGGGTTTTTCCTCCGCGGGATCCTGGCCTCCATCCAGCCTCGATAGCGTGCACACTTTTTGCAGGTGGAACAGGTGGAGCGAATGCGTGCCAACTACGCACACCATTATTCTACCATGGCTCGACCGTGGTCGGAGATAACCTGTACAGGGGGGCCCAAAAAAGTCACTTGCGAACGCGAGTCATATTATCAGCAAAGCAGCCCAGACAGAGACGCGGCCCACGCCCCCCGTAGTTAGCCAGCCGGGGAGAGATACCCAAAGATATTCCTCGGATAAGGCAGTGAGCAGGCGCTCGCGCCCATCACCTTCGTGTACACCAAAATATGAAGTCATCTCCAGTCGCAGCTTGATTGGAGAAGACCTTTGGAATTTATGTCACCTCCAAATAGCTGCAAACTTTAGTGGTCCGATACGGCTACCTGGCAGACCAGGTTACTTCTTGATATCTGGAAGCACCTCCAATATCGGAAGCACTCCGACAAACGTCCGCTACGTCCAGTATATCATCTTCACCGCAGCCGCCAACTCGCGGGTTGATGGTATGACCGGAAGTTCCTGGGATGGAAAGACCGATCATTTCTTCGTGGACCCCGGACTGGAGGTGAGCCTGGCCGGATGTACATCCATAGCATGCTCTGCATGTGGAATATCCTCCCTACACTTGCCATCGCCCGTACCATCCTCCTGGAAACTTGTACTGCTACGAGGTTCGGGTACAAAACCCAAAACCACATAGAAATACGGCAAGGCGTTCGGGAAACACTTTCGCCTCCCTACTTGGAAGGGAAGGCGTGAGCTACCTGAAACGAAGATGGAGTGTTCCAAGTGTGTCATCACCTCGCGCGCTTCAACACCGCTCAACTTACCACGGTTCGTGCGGAGCGTTCTCTGCAACTAGGGTTGGTTGACTCAGTGGCGTTGTATATCTTTACTATCTTGTCTCGCTGAACTCAGGCACCGAACCACGGTCGCAGAATCTCTCGATGGCGCTCCTCCAGAAGGCCGTGGCGAAGTATCATAATACTATTTGATATGCTGTCTTTTGTGGTAGAACTGTCGCATCAGAATTTAATAAGCGTAACTTATAGCGCTTCAAAATTCGAGGAAGTAAAGTGACTTTTTTTTCTGCCCCCCCCCTGTGTATGGTGTGCCTTCAAGAGGCTGGAGGCCTTTATAGACTATCGGCAAATGGATTCGGGACATCAGCTCCGAACTGGGCGCGCGGTCATTGCTGCACATTCGGTGTAAACTCACCGATTCACAGTCATTCCACAGACATTCTCAGCTTGAGCAAACTGTTTAACGGTCGGTCTAAACCAGCTGCCAAATGGGCGGAAATCGTAGAAGTTTGCACCAGTCTCACCTTGTGGTCCCTCTCCTCTTACATTCCAATACCTGAATGAAGTAGTAGATGGTCTTCTTGTATAGATACATGAAGGTGTAGTACAGAATGTCCGGGAGGCGACATGCTAACAGATCTTCCAGTTCATCCTAGTTAGTTTCCTTGACATTTCGCAGCATTGCCTTTTTGAATAATTGTGGTCCTAGCGCGAATGGCAAGGTTTCTTTCTCGTCGCTCTTCGGATGTGCTGGACTACACCCCAAAGTGGATGGTGCAGTTACGGAGGAATTGAACTGTGGCTCTATTATCAGTAGAAGATTGTTTTGTATTGAAAAATAGTAAAGACCTACCAGAGTTGAGAAGTTACTCCCCCGCGCATTGTATGTAATCCGGGTCCAGTCGTAAAAGTTGGTGTAAAAGCCGAGTGCAATTCTATTCCTCTTCAAAAAATTATCATTATTCGAAACTTAAAAGAACAGAATCACGATAAACCATTCAAGACCACTTTTCTATGTCTGATACACAAGTACGGTTTAGTAGTTGGTCTCGTAGGTGCTTACTAATAGCTGATGTCGTCGCAATCACTCGGGGCGGGGCCACGAGCGGTGAAGTGGTCCCATCACGTCTGCGCTTTCAACCAGTAGTGGTCGGTTGAGGAAACAAGCAACCAGTGGCAGAAAACGCGGCGGGAGAACACGTTCCATGCCTCCACCACGGCTACTGCTATGATATTAACTGTAGGTGCTGTGGGCAGTGAGAGGATCGCATTTGGCCTCTGGGACAGTTTCTCGTTTTGTTGATTTTTCCCTTTTGCGCTAACCCTGACGCTAACGCTGACCCGAAAAATGGTCAATAGTGCTGTAGCTACAAATTTAAGGTGACGACCAGTGAGAATATCAGTGTTGGACAATGGAATCGCTGGTGCAATGGTGGAGCCGTATTCAGGGTTGGTTGATCTCGCGTAATTAGTCGGGACAGTCGGCGTGAAAAAGCTCACCCCGGCTGCATTTTCTGCCAATAATGTTCGGATCAGGAAGTATACAGCAAAAACTACTAGTGGTAGGAAAAGCCGCGGGTTACCCCCCCCCCAGCCCTCTGTCCTTCCTTCCTCATCGAATCGAGCCGTCGAGCGGGGGGGGCGGGGGGGGGGAGGGGTAAATAGCACATGTGAAACAGGAAAAGCCGCGAGACAATACGACCCCCCCCTCTACAATCAGATTTTCCCCAACTTCCTGCCCCTTTTTTCCGAAATTTCCCGAAAACTTCCTTACTTTTTACCAAAAATTTTGCTGTCGAGCGGGGGGGGCATATAGTACGTGAAACAGGAAAATCACCAAAAGTCAACCGCCACTCCCACAACGCCAAAACGTAAATACGACCCCCTCCCAAAAATGATCAAATACGACCCCCTCCCTTTACAACGTCCATGAAGCGAGAAAAATCAACTATCAAAATAAATTTTTCTCAGCCCAAATACGACCCCCCCTCCTGGCGACCAAATACGACCCCCCTATTGGGGATTCGGGGATTCCCCAACAACGATGTGCTCTGGAGTGAGGTGATTGCATTTGATCTCAAAAGAAGTTTTTCGTTTCTCTGATTCTTGTGGTCTTACGCTGTACCCCCCACCCGCTATACACCTCCACCCCTCACGCTCGACGCAAAGTTTTAGGGAAACATTTGTTGAGGAGTTGGTAAGATTGGGTGAGACGCTAAGTGGATTGTGATCGGAGGGTCTACCGGGAGGAAAAAAAGGCGGGTGGGGTCAAAAATCGTGTGAGCAATTTTCCCGGCGATGTACCATCTTCTTGGACCTCTTAATGAGGTTACTGCTCACATGATGAAAGATAATGAAGATAGTGCAGTGAAAAAAGAGAATACCTGTGCAGCCATGACGATTTGATTGAGGAAGTACACATTTTTTTGTGGGTATGGGTCCCAGTTAGCTGGAGCTGTTACCTAAAACCAGCATGTTACTAGTTCAAGCTCTAACAATCATGCAGTTAATTCTTCTGAGGCAGCTCTAGTTGCCGTGGTATCTGTGAGTGTGTGGAGCAGGAGCGAGACTCAGGTATACTGTAAGAAAGCATTAATCTCGCTTTTCCGCTGTAGACGCTGGGGCGTGTCGGGAGCCAGGGGGGGGAGGAGGGCTGAATGTGGCTAGCGCTAGCCTCCTTTCCACCAGATGCGGTTGTTTGCTCGCTTTGACATAACCGGAGAAGGGAATGACGCCGCGCCAGACTCAGCTCCTATGGCGAAAAGGGTGTAAATCCCCACGTAACTGATCTCGCTTTCTCCTACTAGAACACCGATGCTATACTCCTACGTTTAAGGGCACGGTCTGCGATGAGAAGCTTATTTAGTGGTGTTGAAAGAAGGAAGACAACTTGTCAATTGACTCGTCTGTAAAGAGAAAATGCCAAAGGGAACGTCGGAAACGCCCCTAATAGGAACATTCCAGTCTCAGTTGTATGGGTAAAAGGCCGAAAGACCGGGTGTTGAATCGCATCCAGTCGGTTCATTCTTCCTAATAGGCCCTATGACTCCGCAAGAGACTATGGAGCATCTCCCTTTCATGCTACTTGTGCGGTAGCATCGCTTTTGGCTGGAAGGCGGGCTTTGAAGGCGGAGTCTGGAGGCGGAGTCACTGGAAAAAGGAGGTGTCACTGAGGCAACATTGCGACATAACTCCTTTACAACTTTCCGCCGCAAAGTTGGCTCAAGGTCGTACGCCGCGGATCGCGCTACCCTCCCACAAAACTTTTGCATTTTCATGGATCATAAGGGACCGTTCCTTCAAAAGGATTTGCGGACGGGCGGATGACGCAGCACTCTCCATCGTATGCGCCGCCAGTACATAGGCTAGTCACCTGACGGCTCTCCCGATCGCTCCTTCCCACGCCGGTAATACTACTCGTTCCAGCGGACTCCGAGTGATAGGTTCTCTCATAAATCTTTGCGCTGACAATGAATTCCTTACTCTACCTCTCTCTACTCTTTATCACAGCTAACGTTCGTGCAAGTGATCACTTACCTGAATCCATAGTTTCTTGAGGTTAATTCCTGCAGCATTCAAGCCGTTCAAGATCTCATCGAATTGCATTGATGCATTTTTGCTAGATCGGATTTGTGGCGTCATGTACGCTTCTACGCCGAGACCCGCTGAAAAATTCCTACGATTGATAGATGTATTTGTTGCTCTGGAGACATGGAAGCAGGGCACGCCATCGCGTTCTGATCAATTCCTAAATACTATTCCCTCCCCTCAAACTCACGACCCCCTTCCGCTTCCCATGCTGCGCCCACCACTTTCCCACACGAAAGATTTCTGGTTTTCTCTCAAATTTTGCTTCGCAGCCAGGGTGAGGGTTGCCGTTGTCAGGATTCAACTATTATTTTATTTTCAACTATCGGAAATAGTAGTTTATAGACCCTTGTCAGTCTCTTTCTCAATAGCAACCAAATACGACCCCCCACCTTTATAGCGTCCGTGAAACAAAAGGAATAAACTATCAAAGATAATTTTCCTGGGGCCAAATAAATACGACCCCCTTCCCTCGCGGCCAATTACGACCTCCCCTGGTAGTGATCATCACAACGATGTCGTCTGCATGGAAGGCCTAGAAGGAAGGCGATAGTCTGGGACCGTAAAAGGCGGCCTCAGTGGCATAACGAGTAGCGCACTCACCCGAAAATTTGAGTGCTGTTTGAGTCCCACTAACCGCGGCAAACCCCAGGCTGTCATAAATATCAAAAATACACCCGCGAGGCAAGCAGGAAAGGCTGAGGCAGTGGTATAGGAGAATGCTAGGTCACACTTCTTCTGGAGTGTACACTTGCATGCAGAATAACATTTTTCCGGAACAGTCGGCCAAACCAGAGGGCGGAGGGGGGGTGGACAGGGTCTGCACTTGTTCATGTCGACCCATCGATAGAGCCATTTTGCGAGCTTACAGGTGGTAGGTATGACCGTAGTGGTTCGACGAGCTTCCTCCGGCTCCTACAGAAGTCACAGGTTTCGCCACACGAGACTTGTAAACCATAACCAATAAAGAAGCGGAAGCGCAAAATGTTCCCCATCCCTCGTCCAACCTGCTCTCATTTTTCTTTAATTACCTGCACCGGCTTGGTTAATATTTGAGATGGATGTTGTAATCACATAGAAGACACATCAATCGCATGGATTCATAAAAACCCTGGAAAAGGTCGTGAGTTGGAGTTTGATATGAAGCCAAGGTAAAAGTAAAAGCATACAATATGTTGCCAGTAATCTAGAATTAAGCACGTAGCACAAATCAAAGAGGGACGGATCAGTGCCTCCAGCTATTATCTAGAAAATCTTAATCGTTACAGACAAGAACCTACCGTACAAATACAGTCCTATAGTTGGATGATTTAAGACAACTGAAATTCGAAGCTGGCCCGGAAAAGTCGACAGCATAAGCATATGGGTACGCGTTGCTACCCTACAAAAAAGATTATTTTACTACTTCTGAATATTTTGGCAACTAAACCACCATTTGTTGTTCTCAAGCTTCAGTAAAACCCTATTTTCAGGGCCGTCTCCCTTCGTCTTGGCGAGTTAAAGGCAGTTGGCACGACAAATACCCTGAAGACGAGTAGGATTAATACGCCTGGCAGGACGGAATTCCGCGTTTTTGAGAAGGCACTGCGCAGTGCCCTTTCCAAGGGAGGTGCCTTTATAAGGGCCCTACCAAGCTACAACATACCGACCCGAACGCTTACCACGCCCACCCATAATTGAGCGACCGTTCCTGACACTCGTATTGATTCATTTGCTAAGGAAATTATGAAGCGAAGGGATGGGTGTGAAAAGCGGCCACGGTGCTGCATGGATAGATGAGTACACACATGCAGCCGTATCTTCGGCAGCGGTGATTGGTAAAATGCCTACGGGAAACTCGTCCGAAATTGATTTTGAGTCATTAAGAACGAAGGTTTTCTCTGCGCAGGATTCCGACCGTTTCCACTCCGTTCTTTCGCCATTTTCCCCATTATATAGCGCCTTGCTAGCATTTTAGGACCAAATCAATATCAACGATCTCATTGACAGTAGGGAATTACGATCTCAGGGGGGGGAACCGCGCCACATTTGGCACCAAATCCAGGTGAACATGTTTGGCGACTCTCCATTCTGGACCACTTGTTTTGAAGCAGATTCTCTGCAGGAGTAGGGAAAGGCTTCACTTTGAATCTGACTCATGCGCGAAGCGTTACAAGGGCTAAGCAAGTATTCATCAGCCTGTTCTGGCGAATTGCCGATCAGGACGAATCAATATTCTCTTTTACGACCCTTTTAATATTACCTCAGAGTGGCAACGGTTGACACTTCTGTCTTTTTGTTCTTATCGAAAAAACTGTTCGTTGTAAAAGCTGGTTGAAGCCGCTAAGAAACAAAGAATCGGAGGAAAATGTGACAGTGAAGCTGACGTGGGGGTGGGGAAGGAATGAAGATAAAAGGAAGGTCTTGTGAACTATTCAAATTGCCTTCCCTCGTGGCTGGTACGATTATCCGTATCTTCAAGAACCATGCCGCTTACCTGAACTGGTGCAGGTTCCGGATTGACAGTGGCAGCAACGCATCCAATCAAGAAAAGGAGCAGCATTGTCCTGAAGCTAAGCCAAATTTTTACAACGGAGGCAATAGAACAAGATCTGGTATAAGACATGAATGACTTCTGACACCTGGAGGTCTTCGGTAATAAATACTGATAAGGATTTACTGGTGACAATTCTGTAATTGCCCTTTAATATACAGTTTCCTTATCAAAATGCGTGGAAAGCCATAAATTTCGAATAAAAATATTTCAATGAAATTGTTCCGAAATCTTTATCGAACACATGATGAGACAGACAATACCCTCATCACTTCACATGAGTGAAAATCGTGCTCACAGTTTTCTCCAGAGGACTGAGAAGTAAGGCAAACAATCCTGGATCGCGGCATCTCTATTCTTGCATGGCCTGAAAAGTGATGACTTCGTGGTCAGGAGCAGGTCAGAATGACAGACAATGGTCTCTATGCTGTACTCTACAAAAAGCAAGATCCCCGTACAACCTACATTGCTCGAATGTCTACTCCACACAGGGCACGTCCCACGTTGGGGAATCCCCAGCGGGGGGGAGGGGGATGTCGTATTTACTCTCCTCATCATTACGGACTGTCGGGGCGGGTCAGTGCGGCTGCGTTTTCCGCGGTGCCAAAGTCTTTCTGCACCAGTTGTTGAAGCGAGCAAATGACATGACAGCATTATATCCTTCGTATTACTCGTTTTCTACCACTTTTTGTCGCATACGCGTTTCAACGAAAAGGCTGAGAACGGCTTCAAACAGTGTGCGCACTCCTACTGGCTGATACGCCCCGACAGTCCGTAATGATGAGGAGAGTATATTTCTGTGGGTCAGAAGCGCTGGGTTAGCCAACAGTGCATGATACAGCGATGTCTCTAGCATGAATCTGGGTAGCAGGGAGAGAAGGAGCTCCCATGGCAAAACCCTGTGATATGAGAAAAGTTTTGTAGATGTTGAAATATGTTTTGTTTAGATGAAGCCGATCCCGCATCAGATATCGACGAGAAATGTGTTTTACATACCTGACAACCTAAAGAATTTCCTGTAATAGGTTTGGGGAAGAGACTTCTCGAGTTGCTGCGAATTTTCGCGATGTGTCTTCAGCGCGCTAATTTTTGTGACGGATTCCTTCGAGGAAAAGTCTGGCAGCGCAAATCCTTTACTCTCCAACTATATTTGGACTGTTGCAACTTTCAAAATATTGAGGATGAAAAAAGTTGCACCCGCTTGAAGGGGTGAAGCTTAAAAAATCCCCAACGAGTCGCTGTCGTGGGAAATCTCCAGAATTTGAAGAGTTCAGGAGTAGGATTGAGGGACATAGGTAAAACGTCGCGGTTTGGCTTTCCAAACCGCAACGGTTTCCCGCACGGGTAAGACCTTAAAATGGTTTAGTCAGAAACGTTTTTTCTTTTTCAAATGCTGCATCTCTAAAAGAAGTTATGCTCTCTGAACATGTATGGTGGGGTTCCAGTCACATTTAGTGCCCTCCAATGTAAGGCATTGTTCACAGTCTGCGGTCCAGCGTTTCTCTGGAGCGCGGCGGTTCGGCGAAAAGCTTTCGATACGTATCGACTGGCGG